AAAAATAAAGGACAGTGGCAAAATAGATCTTGTTGACCACAGTAATTTTCCTGGATTTTTTTTTTTTTTTTTTGCTGTGAGTGGATTTTTAAAATGAGTTTTAAATAAGCACTTCCATACAAACATGACACAAGCATTTCTTTCTTACTTACAAAACAGCAACATTTTAAATGTTGTCAAGAGCAGAATAATCAACAGCATATGCAACAAAGCATATTTACAGCTTGAATAATTATTCACTGATTTGGGAACTCAATTCTCAATCTGTAATAATTCTCACTTCACTGTTTTGAAGACTTTGAAAAGTTTGTTGGGAGGCTTAATAAATAAAAAGTTTCACACTGCTTCAAAGTTATACTTCCTTAACTGATGACCTCCACTACCACCTAGCTTTGCTTGGTGACCCTTCCTACTCGCCCTGGCAATTATCCTAATCAAACAGTGTTTGGGGTAGTCTGGAAAGCTGAGTGATTCAAATGCATTTTGCTTAAAACCTTTAGCCTAAGCCACTTTTTGCAAATTATTGCACAAGGTGCTGTGCTTTCCTCTTACTCTACCAGAGGCTATTGCTTAAAAGATCCAGTTCCTGTAAAAACAATCATAGGTCAAAAACTGAAAGAGTGATGGAAAGACCCATTTTAGTCATGTATTTTTTGGCATGGAAGCACTGAAAGTGCATAATCTGTATAAATGTTAGCTTTCTAAATAAACATAACCTCTGATTGCATGAAAGCAGGGAATAAAGTTGAAACTTGTTCTCTCCATTAAGCAACCCTTCAAAACTTTCAATGCTTGTTTTGTTCTAAACAGACATAAATCTTGACAAATAATGATCAACAAATGGTAACAATGGCAGTGAAGCCAACACAGCTACCACGGGCTCTTCACCTTGTTCCTGCCTCCAGGTATGGCTGTATTTTGCTGTCTCTACAACTCAGACTTCAACATGGGGGATGGTGATGGGGTGGTGAGGTCTACGGGCACATATGTATGTCATTGTTTTGTGTTGATGTGATGTGTCTCCAATACTGCTGTGCTGACAAGCAGTGCTGCGGATGGGGTTGAATTTCATCTGTCACTACTTGTGGATTTTTTAAATGATGTAAACTTCCCATTCTGAATCTGTAAAGGTTTTGGCCAAAGCCAGCTGTTGACAGTAGCCACTGTTCAGTAGTTTGTCCGTTTTTAACTCATCCCAAAGCTGGGGTAGTACAAGCAGGAATTCTTCTATTTCTGGTTGCTATTGTGATTCATCATGATGTCACTCATAAATGTGAGGGTTTTTCTGTATAAAAAGGACACATGGAGCATTCTGCTTATGTTCTTAAAATTGCCTGGAAAGTAAAGAGGGAAAAAATAAAATTGATCCACCTAGCACAACTATAAAGAAACGTTCCTGAATTATTAGCCCATAGCATGTTTTTTAAAAATGAATATTGCTCTGGAACTGCATTAAAATCTATCTTAGCATATTTTAAGAAAGGCAAAGCACTGTGGATGAGAGGGCACAAAGGCGTGGTTTTCAGTGTTATACTGCAGGCTCCACTTTCTCTCCCTTGCTCCCAGTCCACTTTCTCTCTCTGCTTGCTTAGTGCAAGGGGTGACCTTGTGCAACACAGAACAGCATTTCTAGGACAAAGTTTCTCAGTCTTACTAACTTCATAAAATCAAATAAATCAGAATGAACTCAGTACTTCTACTGGGCAAAGTGTAACTAGCTGGTAAAGTATGCTGTCCCTCAAGAATAATATCAGGGTGGCAGGTGACATAATTTGTGTACACCAAGCAATGGAAATTTACTTATTCTAGAGAAGCAGGATATTTTATTTCTAGTGTAGATGGGTTTTACATCACTCACCAGTACGTCAGAGGCAAAGATCCAATATATGGCTATTTTCTTAAAGAGACTGAAATGATGTACTGCTTGTCCCATAATGCTAAAACAATGCAGAGTTACACCTGCCATTTTTAAATGGCTTTTTGGTGGGGCCTGGGATGCAAAGGATTGCAAGAGCATGGATCTTAGCTGCTAAGCACACATTTTTTTTCTTCCTGGTATGAGAAGACAGCAGAGCCAAGCCAGGCAACCTGAGTTTAAGGACTATAGTACTCAGGTAGTGTTCATAAACTCTCTACTAGAGATAAGCACCACACTCTAAATAAACACTATATATATAATACATTTGTTATATATATATATATTTTTTCCTCGCTCATTCAAAAACCCTTCCAAATATCTACAGTAAAGTTTCTGTCCCTTCACTATGATAGACATGCAAGAATCTGTTAATGTTCTGGAACAAGAATATCCTGATGAAGTTATCTATTTAGTGGTCATGGAAGGTCATCTCTTACATCTCCACTCCTTTGTGAACGCAGTCTTGGGTGGCTCTCCTCCCACTTTCATGTCTACACATGATTTCATAGTTTATTAACTATTTGGTGGCTTTCATTTTCATTGTGCTTTCATTGTGCTATGGCTTTTTTTAGTTGAGTGCCAAGCAGGCTTTGACGAAGTGTGTTTTGCTCTGCAACTGTGACAGAAAGGATGAGGGCAGAACGCGACCCATGCTCTCTTGTCACACAGAAGATGTCCAGAAAGAAAGGGATAAGGATTAGCACATAGAGCTTGTTGTTCTGCTCCCATTCAGCATGCAGAGCCAGTGAGGCTGTAGAACACACCGATTGTTGGGTTTAGCTCTACCAAACTTATAATTCCCTCTTAATTCTTTCCAGGACAAGCAGAACTTGAGGAGTCTGTTTCTGACTCACCTGGCAGACAGGACTGCTGCACAGTCTTCCCTTTTCTGTGAAACAGTAAAAGAGCCAGCATCTCTGAGTTTTGCTTACTTCCAGAGATACATTAAACAGGGCACAGGATTTCCCACAGAGTCACTCAGGGCTACTAAGAAAGCAGAGTGAAGTATACATTCACTGAATGGCTAAAATTGTTCTTACACAGTTTGCAGTTGAAGTCTACAGCAATATTCTTTTAGTAAACCAAGCCTTTATATATTATTTGAAGCCCCAGAAGACTGCAGCATACGTGAATTCTCACCAATCGAGTGTCTTCGATGACCACATGGTATGACTATAACTAAGAGCACAGAATACTCAACTATCTTGATAGCACTGACTTTGCCTTGCTTTGAAAAAAATCACTCAAATACGTGAAATGCCAAAAATCTCTAAAGGTATTTCTAGCATTTCAGAAAGTATTTTGAGGCTCTCATCATCACAGAAAACTGCACGCATATCATTAGTAAAACATGATTAAACATCATTTTCTCTAAATTAAGTCAGAGTTTTCATTTTTTTGAAGTAGAAAAGATACTTAGATGAAAACACTCCATTCTGCAGACAACTTGAAAGTTCAGAATTGCCCTGGAGACCTTCATTTCAGCCAAAGCAGATGCTGTAATAAAATTACACATACAAATACTTTAACGGGTTGTTCCAGTATCCTAGAACTAGAATCCTATTTATTGGAAACTCCCTACCTTTGGCAATTCTGAACAGTTGCTATAATAAATGCTCAATTTTCTGCAGGCATGGTATTCATTTCATAGAAGCTCTGAAAGTACTAGTGAATTTTTGGCATTATCTTCCAGAAGCCTACAAACTAAACTACAGCCATTAATCCATCCTTTATCCTTGTTTAGTTATTAAACGTTTCTGTAAGATCTATTTCCAAGACACTTGAACTTTTCAGATGCAGCTTAAGTCATTCGTAACACATGCTAAGTTAATTACATATACTTTTCTAGTAAGGGGTTTCAATAAGGTAGGATGGCATTGCAACATTCTGTAAACCCCCTCAAATCCCACTTACTTAAAACTATCAAACCTTTTTTATGCAACTCAGAAGTATTTCCTGGAACATGGGGTGATTTGACCATGTCTTTATCTTGTTTTAGAAACCAAAGTATTGTAAAAATATTTAATTTGTATTTTATTTATCAGTCTTAGAGACATATAGGCTGTATTATCATCATATACAACATAAAATATAACAACAAAAAGACGGAAAGAATGCTTTGTCTGGCAATCTTGGACAATATTTTTTACTTTTTAGTGAAGGTATAGATTTAGCCTTACAGGAAGAACTTTTCTTCTCCTAGCTTATCCTCTTAATCAAAACTTGCAGAATTTATGGCAGTATAAAGCAGTATAGCTGAAGCTATCATAGAATCATCAAGGTTGGAAAGACCACTATGATCATCTAGTCCAACCATCAAGTCATGGCCACAACTGCTCTAGATTATGTCACTCTGTGTCACATCCACCCTTTTCTTGAACACCTCCAGCAACGGTGACTCTACCACCTCCCTGGGCAGCCTGTGCCAATGCATCACTACTCTTTCTGAGAAGAAATTTTCCCTAATATCTAACTTGAACATCCCCTGGTGCAATTTAAGGCTGTCATCTCTCATCCTATCGCTGATACCTGGGAGAAGAGGCTGACCTTCATCTCACCACAACCTACTTTCAAGTAGCTGTAGAGAGCAATAAAGTCTTCCCTGAGCCTCCCCTTCTCCAGAATGAACAATCCCATTTCCCTCAACCACTTTCCATAAGACCTGTGCTCCATAAACTTCACAGGCTTTGTTGCCCTTCTTTGGAGATTCTCCAGGACAGCTGTGCTAGAGGGTTTGCTGTTCCAGTTGTAGTGAACATGGAGCAGAGACATTTTAAATACAGATTGGTCCTTATGGTCCTAAGGCTCTCACTGATAAAACCAGTTTGTGATGACTAGCGATCCTGGAGGAAGACTGAGGTTGAATTTTGCCTTGTATATCAGTAATAATATTCTCCAGATAGCTCTGTTTTTCTCAAGTCCTAAGGTCAAATCCTAAATTTATGAGATCTCAAACCATAACTCTATTGAGAGAGATCAGGGCTATAAGTGTCAACAAGAGAGTAAGTAAGATGGGTGGTTTAACATTTGCATTCGTTTTTTGATTTGGTGAAGCTACCATTTAAATCACATTCCTTTATTTTAGGAGCCTTCAGTCAGGTCATCTAGATATTGAGGTCAATTTCAAAAAGTGAATAGCTGCATGGTATTTCAATGTTAAAGTCTCAGCATGTCTATAATGTTTTCCTTCATGCCATTATTTCTCACTGACAGGTATGGGGAGGTTTTGACACTGTTAATATAGCATAGGGTGTTAATCTTATAATCGCCCTGTCAGCACTTTGTGTCAGGGTGTTAATGACCACCTTTCAGCCACTCAGAGCTGCCTGCCAATAAAAATAGTCCCGGCACCTATCCAACCAGCAACTATGCAGCTACTTTGCTTTTTCCCCAAAGAATAAACAGAAATTTTCACTAGCCATTGGCCATAAAGACGCTCCTCTCTACTTACTCATTTCCTTTTCCTTCTCCGTACCCACTGGCAGAAAAAAAAACAACTTTGTCACTGGGCCCTTTTAATATATTTTGCATGCTTTATTTTAGAATGTACAAATTATTTCTCAACAACTTTTAAATAAACACAACACCTTGGGCAGGATAAAAGCCAATTTTTTAACAGCAAGAAGCACACGTATTTGCTGCAGTTCTTTCCTATGTAAATGTAACTCAAAGGCAAACGGTGAATATTTCTGTAATTTCTGTGTTAGAGACGAGCCCATATTTTTGTCTCTGCACGAGAGAGAGGCTTTTCCAGCTTCCTGGCAGAGGGAACTGCACAATTCCAGATGACTTACTTACTTTGTACGCCTAGAGGAATTTTATTACACAAATAACAAAGAGAAACAAAGAAAGGAAGAGGGAGAGTACACACTCAAAATAATAAACAAAGAATAATAAACATTCCTCCAATTGCCCATAGGGATTCCAGATGTGGCTCCATCCCCGTGCAAGTCCTGTTTGGGACTTCTTCACAGGCTGCCTTAGACA